GCAATATATGCCCCACTCAGCTGCGCTGCTTTAGCCATTTACTAAATAACCCACAAGACTAAGTACTGAGTGAAGCTTGGAGCGAGAGAAGGTTCGGAAGCAGGTGCAGGCTGCCTGCCTCGTGAGCTCCATCACCGGGAGGTAACCATGGCCGGAAAAGCTGCTGTGGGCCCAGCCCCAATGGGAGACTCAAGGCACAGTCAGGCCCTTGGGGTTCTGGGTTAAGTCAATGCCCTCCTCTGCGATGACTGTTCTCCATTTTTTAAAAATGAACTCATGCTGGACATGGTGGGACAGAAGTTCTGAGTGTGGCACACCGAGGGAGCCATGCAACCAGAGGCGGAAATGATCTGAGCCAGCACGTCATAAAATTGGACACGCATGGTTGCGTTCTATTACGAAGCAGCATATATGGAATCAGGTCTGAGCAAGTCCAGCAGGCACAAGGAAATTGCATGAGCAGGTGGTTTAAATTCCCCTGGTTCCTACTCTTATTGCTTCGCTGCGGCTCCCTCAGTCCACACGTGGTGAAGTTGTTATCACTTGATGACACAGAGGAAAAAGCAGGCAGGATTTCCACACAGGTCTGCAGGTTGTGTTAGCCCAACCACAAATGGACAGCTGCTGCACCGCAGCCACATGCAGGGGGCCCCTGGAGCACGGTGACGAAGGGAGGACCTCCCAGGAGCAGATCTCTGGCTACAACGAGGATACACTTTGTGTGGAAGACAACCCAAGGTACAGATCTACACTGATTCGTGGGCAGTGGCTAAGCCAGAGAACCCGTTAGGAGGAGATATGTGGATGCTCGAGACAGGCAAAGTAGTGAAGCCGTTTAAACCCACATGGACGCTCTGCGGGCATCCACTGTGGAGGAGCTGCTTCAGAACTGGATGGTCAAGATGGTCAACTTCTGTCTCTGGCTACGCTGGTTCCTGGTCAGGGCAACAAGGGTAGGGCTATACATGCTGTGATAGGCAGAATAATAAACCCACCTACCAAACATCCACGCTCTAACCCTTGAGATCTGCAAATAGGTTACCTGTTATACAACAAAGGGTGAATTAAGGTAGCAGATGGAATTAAGTTAGTCAGCTGAATTTGAAAGTATAGAGATTCTAGCCAGGTGTGAAGGCTGCACCTGCAATCCCAACACTCAGGAGGTTGAGGTGGGAGAACTGCTGTGAGTTCAAGACCAGCCTGGGCTACATGATGAGACCCTGCCTTAAAAACAAACAAGAAAACAAAGAGATTCACCTGGATTATCTACACGGTTCCAGTGTAGCCACAAAGGTCTTAAAAGACAGAGGCAGAACAGCCAGCATCAGAGTGATGTGAGGTGGGAGGGGGACTGTCCATGCTGGCCTTGAAGACAGCAGGGGTCTCTAGAAGGCTTCTACTGGCCCTCCAGAAAGGAATGCAGACCCAGCTGACACCTTGACTTTAGCCCAGTGAGACTTGTTTCAGACATCTGGCTTCTAGAACTGTAGGAACTTTGTGTTAGTTTAAGCTGCTAAATTTGTGGTTTTGTTACAGCAGCTGTAGGACACTACTACACACAGGTTTAGCTCATTTCCCTCACCAATCTGAGGCCGTTGGCGAGGCTAAACATTCAAGCTGCCATCAGGCAAAGACCAGTCTGAGTGTTCTGCTTGGCACCATTTACTGGGGTCTCCAGATCTCTTTCGGGAGTTCAGTGAGATGAGTCTAGTTTCATATTAATACTAAGACATGATTTGCCTTTTTTATGGCCACTCTTCCAGGAGCATAGCACACAATTTCCCAGAGGCTACATGACAAGTGTACAGCAGATGGAACGCTGAGGATTTGAGAATGTGGCTGTCTTCTCTTAAGCCAGGCTGTCAAATAATGATCTTCATCTCATCATTTTTGTTTTGAAAGCTATTTTCATTAAAAACTTTGTATTTATATGAATACGTAATGGGTTTATTCATTTGACATAAATCCATATTTTAAAACTTTAATTTCTAATCCAATAAAATTGATAGATAATAGCTCACACAAACACAAACCCCTGGGGAGTCTGGATAATTTCTAAGAGTGTGAAGGCCTTGAGAACTGCTGCCCTAGGGGAGCAGCTTACTCACTGCCCTGCAGAGGCTGATCTCACAGATGCTTCCTTCTCCAAGGGAGCAGTTGTGTAGCACCTACTCTCTCTCTCTTTTTTTTTTTTTTTTTTTGGTTTTTTGGGTTTTTTTTTTTCCCCTGGTACCGGGAATCGAACTCACGACCTCGTGCTTGCTAGGCAGGCGCTGTGCCGCTGAGCTAAATCCCCAGCCCCGAGTAGCACCTACTCTTGACGCCCTGCCTCACCCAGGGCTTTGCCAGCACTGTCCTTCCGCATGCCACCCAAGGCCTCGTTCATCACTCTGCCGTCCCACACGTTGCATCCCCAGCTCCACATTACGCTGAAAGACCTGCATCCGGCGAAGGTCCCACCTGAGGATCACATCGGTTTCACGCTGTGCCCTGCCGCCACAGAGCTGCATGATCCCAACAGCGCCACTAGGAGACACTGCGCCCTAAGGCTGGTTGCCAGTGGGAAAGAGGCAGCGCAAGCTTTGTATCCACAGCCGGTATACGGCTTCACCTCTCTCATAGCCAAAATACACAGGCTCAGGGACCTAGAGATGGATATGACCTTTCTCCTTCACCATTATTCCAAATTACAAAGGGACATTTGCTTTCTATCCCCTTGGCTGTGGGTGTGGAGTCCTTACGGCCCAAAGAGGAATATTTCCTCCAGGGGACACAGACATGGTTGCTTTGTGCCCCCGCCCCCTGCCCCAGCCATGTTGGGCTCTGTGTGTTCTTAACCAAAAAGCAGAGAGGGGCTCAGCTGTACCAGTTAGGGTGATCAGCTTGGGTTACCAAGGGGGAAATAAGTTCCTGCTACACAGTGGGGGTGGGGGTGGGGGAGGAACACTCACTGGAATCCAGCGGACTCGCGGATGTCTCCAGTTCTCGTGCTGGAGAGTGGGAAACTGGGAAACCGAGGAAACGTCAGGGCAGTCAGAAGCTCAACTGCTCAACGGGAACAAAGGTTCAGGACACCCCACCAAATAAGAGCCCCAATCAGCCGGGCGTGATGGTGACACCTGTAATCCCAGCACTTGGGAGGCTGAGGCAAAGGATATGGAACGACATAGCCAGATCCTATCTCAGGAAAAAACAAAATCAGCCAGGGTGCTGGTCCTGCTACCTTAGGCCTCGAGACCAGCCACAAAGGAGGGGCGGTCACAGTTTGCTGTTGTTATTTGCACACCCTGTTCCCCTAAAGAGCCAGGTGATGTCTGTTCTATGTTAGTCTCCAAGTGAGGATGACAGAAGGATGACAGGGATCTGCTGTGGATGAGACTGTGCTGCTGTCAGGGATGATGACTTTTTCTTTCTTCTTCTTCTTCTACCATTAAAGAAAAATTGAGGTGAAATTCACATAACATAAAAGCAACCACTTTAAAGTGAATAATTCAACATTTTAGTACATCCAACATGTTGTGCGACCATCACTACAGTCTACTGTCAAAATCTGCTCATCATGTCCTTTTTTTTTTTTTTTTTTTGTCTTTTTGAGACAGGGTCTTGCTATGCTATTCAGGCTGGCCTTGAGCTCACTTTGTAGCCCAGGCTGGTCTCGAATTCCCAACGATCCTCCTGCCTCAGCCTCCCCAGTGCTGGGATTACAGGCGTGCGCCACCATGCCCGGCTTATTCATCATGTCAAACAGAAATTCTGTAACCATGAAGCCACGGGGCCATGTCTTTTTCATCCAAGGACAACAGATGCTGAGGGACAAAGTGGCTCTGCTTGGTGTCCCATCTCCCCTCTCGATTCATGCACAGGGCCACCTTCCCCTCCAGTTTTCAATCGGATTTCCCCAATGGGGGCACCATCAGGACCAAAAAAGAAAACGCCTAACCGATTTGTCACCCGCTCTGGCAGGGGCTGTGTTCTGCCGCCTGTGGCCACAGCTCCAGCGAGGCTGCCCCTCCCAGCTCCTGCCCTTTCAGCCTCCGCGGTTGCCACAGCTTCCTGAGCGAACCCCACCGGCCCATCCCCACCCTGAGGGCACCATCTGCTCCCTGCTGCAAGAACACTGCAGATGTAGTGTCGTCCCTTCTTAACAGCCTCTTTGCCTGTGCCCACCTCAGACTTCGCGAACCAGCTCTACACTCAGGCCCTAGGCTGTGAGTGAGAGCTTCGCCGGAAGGGCCCAGGTCCCGAGGGGACCTAAGGGCGTGCCACGGCCCTCTGGTGGTCAGCCCCTGCAAGTGCACCAAACGGGTCCAGATCACATTTCATCCAGGGGTTTCAGCGACTTTCCACGGCCTTTAGTTTAAGGACCAAATCCTTGAGTGTGTGTTCATGTGTTACTGGAACTGAACCCAGGGTTCCGACACTGGGATACATCCCCAGTCATCCATTCACTTATTGAATTTTGAGACAGGGTCTTGCTAATTCTCTACATTGCCCAGGCTGGGCTTGAACCCATGATCCTCCTGCCTCAGCCTTGCAGAGTTCTGGGACTGCAGGCACGTGCCACCATGCCTGGCAAGAACCAAAACCTCGATCGTGGATGGAAAATTCCCAACCTTGCCTCTCTTGCTGTCACCACAGCCCAGCCACACAGGTCTTTCCTCAGATCCCAGGGCGTTCACAGAACAGCCGGGACCTCTGAGACCCCAGCTGGGTCCCTCGGTGCGTCGGCAGAGTCCTACTCATCACCGCTCCCTTAATTCACGTCACTCACACACACTGGGGTCTTCCACAGCTGCGCAAACGCTTACGGAACACTGCTCTTCCACGCTAGGCTGAGGGCTCCCAGGGGTTCCCGCCTTGCTAACCACTGAATGCCTCGTACCTGGCAAAGACCACATGGGCAGCTGATGGTAGCTAAGTATTTCCGGGTCAGGCCTTGAGCTTAGTAACTTGGGGTCCTCTCCTTCCTGAAGCCCTTCACCCCAGGAAGCAGCCCTGCACTCTGTCAAAAACTCACATTGATTTATTAGAATATGAAAAAGGTTGTTTCTTCTGTACAGGCGGCAGAGCGGCAGCAGCTGCAGTGGCTTTGTACATGGTTGTCAATGTCACCTGGTGTGGCGACTCCTGCCCAAAACAGCACTTGCATGGAGAGGAGATGGGCACACGAGCTGAGCACCCACGGTGGTGTCTCCTGGAAGAGGGACTTTCTGACTATTGCACGATCCTGAGGGAGGGAGTGTCCAGGGGAGACCACCCGCAGGCCTGGGCCCAGTCCTGGTGGCGGTGAGGGTGGGGAGCATGTGCCTGGGAACAAAGGCCTCTGGTGACCCAGGACTTTGTCCACCCCAGAAATTCCAGCCGGGGCAGGAGACCCGCAGGGGAGGCCTTCTCCCCAGAGCTAGGCCCCACAGCAAGCTGGGTGTGCACATGAGGGAGAACTTTGGTGAAAGGGAATAAGAAGGCCAGCCGGGCATGGTGGACACCTGTAATCCCAGCATGGGGAGGCTGAGGCAGGACTGCAAGTTTGAGCCCAGTGTGGGCAACTTACCCTGTCTTAAAATTTTAAGAAAAAAAAAAAAAAGGCTGGGGAGGTAGCTCGGTGAGATGGCCCTCAGTTCAGTCTCCAGAACCACCAAAAACCAAAACGAAACAAAAAAGCCCAGCAGGAAGTGAGGGTCAGGAGCAAAGAAGAAGGCAGGAGATGGGAGGCCCTGCACCTGCAAAAATGGAGAACCAGGGCAGGCCGCGGCCGCGGTGGAGGGCTGACTCGGGGGAGCGTGTTGGGCACAAATGAGAGCTGAGAGGGCCAGAGCCCCGACGGGCGAGGGCTTTTCCCACACTCTAAAACCAGGAGCCTCTGTGCAAACAGGTTCGGACACAGAAGTGAGGACAAACAAAACATAAAAAGGCAGCACTTTCTAGGGCCCCAGACAGTCTCTCCACGGGGAACAGCCTCAGGCAGGGCCAGTGGTCCCTGTCACGCAAGTCGCTTCACTGTCCGAAGAGCCCCAGCTCCCCAGAGGAGCCCTCAGCCTGCAGCTCTGAGGACGGCTCAGGTGGCTGACCAGGGTGACATGGCCGGCAAGAGTGGGGTGGGACTGCCCGGGTCACTGAATTCTCGCCCAGCCACCTGTCCGTGGTGTTCCCCCAATAGAGGAGGGCCTGGCCAAGGGCCGGGAGGGTGCCAGCTCCTTCCTTTCCTGGGTAGGACCACGGTGGAGCCTGAGGCTCTTTGGTTAGGTTGGTCTGAACAGGTGGATGGTGGAATGCAGGGAGGGGCCTTATGGCCCGGGAGACTCCAGCCTGGGCCCTGGTCCGGCATGGTGGGCCTGGATCTGGGCAAGGGCAGGGCCTGGATCGCCAGCCCAGCAGTTCTGCCAAGTGGATTGGGAAGGCAGTTCCGGTGGATGGGGGCTGCTTCCCAGGAGGCAGGAGGAAGCCGTGCTGCGTGGGGGCTGTGGGCCCAGCTGCCATGCGGTGGGGGGTGGGGCAGGGCCAGTCCCGGTCAGGAAGGGCGAGGGGAGCCCCCCAGGTCCACTCCAGCCCCTGCTCTGGTGGGAGAGTCTGTCGTGGGACGGGCGCCACCCCTGGCCCTGGTGCTACTGCGCCTTGGGGATGAATGGCTCTCCTTCCCCAGGCTCGGGGTGGGGGCCTGGGTCACTGAGGCAGCGCTGTATCCTCTGGGAGCTGGGGCTGTCAGTTGGCCCAGGGGTGAAGACATCATCGGTGCATGGGGACGAAGGCTCCTTGGTCCGCATCGTAAGGCCCCCATCGTCGTCCTCATCGTTCTCGGCCACTGAGACCGAGTCCCGGCACAGCCCCAAGACCTTGCCCTTCAGCTCCTCGTTCACCAGGTCCACAGACTCGGGCGACTGCGGGGAGGCTGGGTCGATAGTGATGACCGGCAAGTCTGCCTTCGGCTCGTAGGCCAGCGGGTCTGGGGGCCAAGAACAAGGCACAGGCTATTTTCTGCCCCCGAGCCCTGGCCAGCACGGGCTACATTTTAAGGCCCCCCTCAGCCCACGGTAGCAACTCCCAGAGACTTGCAATGAGTGTAGCCATCTGCCGGGCTTCAGAACTCTGTCTGTTCCCTTCTAGGTATCTTCTGGAAAGAGTTTAGGACACCACATCACAGGGACCCATGCATACCCATGTTTATAGCAGCACAACTCAATAGCTCAGGCTTGGAAGTGGTCTAACTGCCCTTTGACAGACGAATGGATAAAGAAAATGTCTATCTATACAGTGGAGTACTACTCTATTTAATTTATTTATTTATTTGGTACTAGGAATCAAACTTAGGACCTTGCCTTTGCCGGAGCTGTAACACCAGCCCTTGGAGTACTACTCTGCCATAAAGAAGGATAAACTTGAGTCATTTGCAGGAAAATGGATACATCTGAAGACCGTAATGTTAAGTGAAATAAATCAGACACACAAGCTTAAATATTGCATGGTCTCTCTTATATAAGAAACCCAAAGTATAAATAATTTAAAGAGCAAAATAAAAGATAATATGGAAGAGGGAGACAGAGCCTTTGCAAATGGGATGGATATCTACAGACAGAGGGAGACAGGGCAAGGAGACTCAGAATTAAGATGTATTATGTATTTGCATAACTCCTACTGATGGATGTTATTATGCTCAGCAAACATAAAGGAAGAACTCAGTCTACATGGGCCCAAGGGGCCCTCTGCCCCCAGCTTCTCTCCCTTCAGACTGTTCCTTTCCCTGAGCAGGGTGCCCCAAGGTGTCTGTTAAGAATCAGGGCTCACTTCTGAGTTGTGGCCTGCCCCTGGTGCCCCAAACTGTGAGCAGGCCTCCCTCTGTCACCCCTGCAGACTGGACACCCTGCCTCCTTGCCAGGCACCCCACCTGTCCCTAGCTCCGGCATAGTCCTCACTGAGAGCCCCACCAGGGGCACCCCTGTGCCTAGGGTCAAGGGCAGGGCGGTTTGTCCATCCGTAGCCCCACCTGACGCTGACACAGTTCAGGGCTTGGGAAGAGCTGAGGCGGCAGCGAGGGCCAAGCCGGCCCTGCCTGCTGGCTCTGAGGCCGGCTCTCGCCTGAGCCTCAGCAGGCCGTGCGCAGCCCCAGGCCCTCTCCAGGGCCTTACCTGAGCCAATGCGAGCCCGAGACATGGTCGGTGAGTCCAGCTTGTGGGCGGGCACCGTCAGGTAGTTGTTCATCTGGCAGGGAGAGCAGACGGGGTGAGCGCGGGCAGCCAGGTGGGGTGCAGCCCTCTGGCTTTTTCTTGTGCCTGCGTTGCCAGCCGTGCTGGAACCTCGAAGCCCCTGGGGGACTTGTCCCAGCCCATAATCTCCCTGGGGAGCCTGAAACATTCCCTCGCTGCCCCAGCTGCCAGCTCCAGCCCACAGCTGCCCCCTGGGGTGCCAGACCAAAAAGCTCACAAGAGAGGGGCACCTGGGCTCTGCATGGCCCTTACGTGTCCCAAGCCCAACATGTCACAGACGAGCTCAGCTCTTTACCTTCCCTCCAAACCCTATTCCTTCCTTTGGGTCCCCCATGACAGCCATATCCAACTACCCCAAGTAGTGTAGACGCCCGGGTGTAACTGCGGGCTCCTCTTCCTCCCCTCAGCCCCACCTCAAACTGGTGACCAAGTCTTACCAGTTCCACCTCCCTAGTGTCCCTTAGACATACCCACCCCTCTGCTCTCCCCTGCCATAGCCCTAAGTGGGGGCAGCCCCCCAACAACAGTGTCACCCCTGGGGCGCAGCGCAGTGCCCCGCGCCGCCGACAAGCCTCCTTGCGCTCCTCTGCGTGCCTAGAATGGGTGCGCTTCCTCAGAGGAGCACTGAGGGTGCAGGTGTGAGGGAACCCAGGTCCGATAAGGGAGGCCGGCCTCCAGTCTGGCACACACCTTCTGCTCCAGCTGCCGGGCCTTCTGTCTCCGGAGCAGCATCTGGTTCCAGGCCTCCTCGTAGGGGTCAGCCACCAGTGTGTGTCTGTTGTAGGACCGCAGCTGAGGGAGGAGGAGCTGTCAGCGCAGGGCAAGGCAGGGCAGGAAGCCGAGGCTCCCGAGGGCTGCGGGCAGGGACGGGAAGGGGATGGCAGTCTCCTCCGCGTGGGGCGCAGGGTGTGGGTGGGGTCTCACCCGCTGCCTGGTCTTCTGCAGGTTGTTCCTCAGGATCTTTCGGATCTCCTCCTCCTTGTCCTTGGACAGCGCTGGCAGGATGCGCTCGGCAGGCAGGGACTTGGGGTGGATGTTCCTGGCACAACAGGACGCGGGTTAGGTCCACGTTCTTGTGACCCTGCAGCCTGCTGGGCCTGGTCCAGGAGTCAGGCTGGGGATGGCCCGAGCAGAAGGTGAAAGCCTCAGGCCCTCAGTATGGCCCCAAAGACCTCACCCCCACCCCAACAGGACAGGAGAGGCCCCTAGCTGGGGCTGAGGGTTGGGACATGGTGCAGGCGTTGCCTGCATTGGCCTCCGGCACTCACTGCATGGAGACTGTGGAGACTGCAGAGGGGATCTTGCCCATGCCCCCGCTCTCCACCAGCTCGATGGCCTGCTTCATCTCCATCTTGTGGTAGAAGGCGATGAGCTGCGGCTCCTTGGAGCGCTCCCCGGCTATCAGGCACTTCTTCACGTACTTCTTGTTGAACCGGTTGAGCCTGGTGGGAGGCGTAGGGAGACGGGTGGGGCCAGCTCCAAGGGGCGGGGAGAGGCCAGACACCAGGGGAGCCCTCGCCCACCCACACCCCTCGTCCCCTGCTACCTACTTGTCCTTCCAGTGGTGGTGGCCATAGTGGCCACAGATGTCCTCAATGCCTGTCAGAAGGTGGTCCAGGAACTGAAACAGGCCCAGGGCCAGGTCAAGCGTCATTGTTGGGCGCTTTCCATACCCAGACCTCTCTGAAGGCTCCCGCCCCACTGTCCACCCTGTTGGCTCTGCTCAGCCTGGCCCTGTAGTTCCAGGAGTAGCCAGCAGATGTCGCCCATCCCTCGTTCATCCTGACCTGATTGGGCGTCTCAAACCCTCTATGCAGGAGGCAGCTGAGTCCCATTCTCTGAACCCACTTGAACCCCACCTGTGTCAGGTTCCAACCAGAGGAAGAGACGGCATAACATCCCCTTGGCCTCCCCTAGCGGCTAGACCCTGGCAACTGGCCTCAAGGAGTCAAGGGACCACTCTGTACTGGAATGTGGAAGATGTAACTGGAGGCAGAAGCCCAGCTGCTCCCCAGCTCCCTGAGCCCCCTCCCGCACCTGAGGGCCCAGCCCCAGCTTCTAGTACCTGTGTGTGGATCTCCTCGTTGATGGAGCGCTTGGTTTCTTGCTTTTTCTTCACAGCCAACAGATCTACCAGGGGCCGGATGGTCATGCCCTGGGGGCACAGGCGGATGTCAGGCATTCTGCTTCTGCTACCCTGGCAGGGAGGCCACAGTGCCTCTCACCTCCCCCAGGGCCCAAGGTGAGGATGGTCTTCCTGCTCTGAGGTCTGAAGGCTGTCTGTTCTCTCCACCTCCATCCCAGCACTTAGATAAAGTCAGGTCCTTAAAGTTAGTGTCTCCCTGCAGACACAGCAGAGGTCTAATAGCCCAAGCAGCCTAGTGACCCCCTCAAAGGTCATCCAGGCAGGCCAGAGTTCAAATGCAGACTCCAGGACAGACTGGCTGTGCAACCTGAGGAGTCAGGCCTCACAGCGAGGGAGAAGCACCTCTGCTCTGCCTCCCGCACAGGATGCTGGGAGGACCAGGAAATAACAGCAGGAGCTAATTTAACTGCACATTTGTCAGGTGATGGACTGGGTTGTAAAGTTCCCTAGTATTAGCTCTTTAATGCCTACAGTAACTCAAAAAGGCAGGCCCTCTTATTGTTCTCACTTTACAGAGGAGGAAACTGAGGCTCAGCCCTAGGGTGAGCAGCGACCTAAGGCCGCAGTGAAGTAGCAGAGCCAAGATTCAAACCCAGGCAGGCTGGCTCAGTGGGGGCCTTCCTCCCCCAGCGCTGCTTCCAATGAAAATGGGTTTGGAAAGCTATCAGCACATACAACTAGAGTCAGGCTGAAACAGGTTTTTTGTTTTTTGGGTTTTCTTTTTTTGAGACAGAGTCTCACTATGTAGTTCAGGCTGGCCTCAAATGTGTGGCGCTCCTCCTGCCTCAACCTCCCCGGGAGTACAGGCATGTGCCCCCATACCCGGACCTGAAACAGAATTTTCTGATGATGGACGTAGGGCAAAATGACAAAAGAGGCAGCTTCCTCTCCTTGGCGGGTGGCAGGGAGGGGGTTGTATGGCAGGAGGACTGTCCCAAGTTCAAGCCCAGCCTGGACTACATAGTGAGTTCAAGGCCAGCCTAGACTATGTAGTGAGACCAGTCTCAAAAAAAAAAAAAAAAAAAAAAAAGAGACAGGAGACACACCCAGCCCCAGGAAGTTTCCCTGTATTTTTCTCTCCTAAGAAGGCAAAGATATGTTCCATCTAAAGCTCTGTGAGGGTCAGATGTAGTGTGAGAGAAGACAAGTGATGGTAAAGAAATGGAGGCCAAGATAGAGTTTCACACCTGCCCAAGGCCCCGCAGAGTCAGGTACCGTGCAGCAATGTGCACCACCCTGCCGGGGCTTCCTGGGGGACTAGGGACAGCGGTGGGGCTGTCAGCTAAGCCTGGGTCACTGAAATGCTCAGAAGTCAGGGACCAGCAAGTTGGAAGAATTCTTGCAGATAATCTAGCCCAGTCCCCTCACTTCACAAGCCAGGAATGGAGACAGAGAGGTGGGCTTTTCCCAGGGTCACACAGGCAGTGACAGTGCGAAGGCTGACTCTGGGCCTCCTGCTACCCGACTCAGGGATCTGACCAGCTGCCCATGTTGTGCTGTTATTCCCACTTTACAGGTAAAGAAACTGAGATCCCGAGATACTAATTTCTTATTAATTGCTGAGGCCGTACACTGAATCGGGGCAGAGTCAGATCCTGGGGCTGCTGACTGTACCCACTTCTCTGAAATGGGTCCTGAATAAGCTGGGCAGCACTCTGCTTACTTCACATCCATCCGGTCAATCACTTTACAATGACTCCTTATCACAACTCGTGTTTTACAGCTATAAAACTGGGGCCCAAAAGGGAGGTGGCTTGCTCAAAGTCATTTTTCTTTTAAGAGTGGGAAAAGGAGTGGGGCCTAGGAATAGCTCCTGAGAGACAGGAGGGGCCAGGATGGGTTGTCTCAAGGCCATCGTTATTGCTTGTGTCCAGGTGTCCCCTTAGAGCCCCATGCAGTCACAGGTGACTCTTTTTCAGAGGTGACTGGATGTAGAGCGTGTGATGCTGGGGTAAAGGGTGTGTGATTTCTAAAATGCTCCACTGAGTGGTGTGGCCTAGTTCTGGGTAGGATTGAGGGTGCTCCACCCTGGGTGTGAGTGCTACTTGCCCTAAGGGCCTGTAGCTTGGCTAAGATATAAGGGACAGAAAGAGGGTCCCTCCTTGTCCTTTCTTACTTGCTGCGTGCTACTCCACTGTTGGCTACTGGCTGCCTGCCCTCCCTTGTCATGGACTGTTTCTCCGCTACAATGCTCCTCTCCCATGCCACCCTGCCTTGAGCCAGCTAACTACAGACTAAAATCTCTGCAAACTGTGAGCCAAATAAACCTTTCCTCTTTTAACTTTGGGTGTTGGGTATTTTGTCTTGGCAAGGAGAAAAGGTACTAGGACAGACATGCAGCAAGTTAGCAGTGGAATGCACAGCCCCATTGAGCGATGCTCTTTCTCTTTCCAGGGAGTCAGGGGGGCCCAGCACCTGTACAAAGACGGTGAAGAAGATGACAGTGATGATGGCAGTGAGGAACAGTTCACACATGGGGAAGTGCTTCTTGTCTAGGAGGTAGCCCAGGGAGAAGGCGATGGCCCCTCGAAGGCCCCCGTAGGCGATGATGAACTGGTCCTTGGGGGTCAGCTTCACAATGCGGAACTTGTTGATGAACCAGGTCAGGCCCAGCACACCTAACAGGGAGCGGGGAGAAGGGGTCAGGCTCTCCCCAGCACCCCAGAGTCTGTACTAGGGCCTTCCATGTATCCAGGAAGCCTCTACCTAGCCCACCTAGCTCACACATTGGTTGAGTCCCTCAGCCCAGTGCACCCCAAGTTCCTCAATGTAAAAGCTAGGTGGATCCTTAAATTGGGTTCCTCAATCTGGATTTTTTTTTTTTTTTTTTTTTTTTTTTGAGACAGGGTCTCCATATGCAGCTCAGGCTGGCCTTGAGCTCACTTTGTAGCCCAGGATGGTCTTGAACTCACAATGATCCTCCTGCCTCAGCCTCCCGAGTGCTGGGATTACAGGCGTGTGCCACCACGCCCGGCCGAACCTGGATATGCTTTGGAGACACTGCAGAGGCCTCCAGTGGTTAGTGGTCAGGAGGGAGAAGGGAAAGGGTAAAACAAGATCAGTAACAAGCAGATACTTATTAAACATGATGGGCTCATGGGAAATCATTATCCTATCCTACTTTTCTATGTATTTGGGATTTTCCATCATAAAACATTATTTTAAAATGTAGAGGGGGTCTAACCTCAACCCACAAAACCAGGATCCCTGGAGGATGAGGATCAGAAACAATGGGCATTTTAAAAAGTGCACCAAGTAAACATGAAACAGCTAGACTTGGGGACCACAAACCCAGCCAGCTCTCACCTCGGGAAGGTGAGATCCAGAGAGGGGCAGCAACTTAGCCACCAATACGAGGCGTATCTGGCATGTGGACGAGGAACACAAGGGCAGAGGCCTGGCCACCATAGGCAGCCCTGCACTGGTGGTGCAGTGTGGGGGAGCTGCAGACTGCTCTGCAAGTACCCATGCCATCTGTGCTGCAGCGATGTACCCCAGGCTCAGAGGCGCAGACCTGGGTTCTGTGGGCCTCAGGTTTCCTCAGGAAACCAAAAGGCTCAGAGTCACAGGCCTGGAGAACCCTTCACTCTGACACACTGTGGCTGTCCCATGGGTCACGGACTCTTTGGAGTCTGGGCTTTTCTCCCCTCAAGCACCCATTATGGCATCAGCTTTGCAGAGAGGAGGAGGAAGGGGTGAAGCCAGGAGCCACTCAAGGGCCTTCCACACACTATACCACACACACCCCATGCCACCATACCACAGCCCCTTCATACAACACCCCTGCACTGCACCACACGAACACCCCACACTCCAGCCCCTCCATACACTGTAATACACACACACACTGTACCACACTCACACCCCACAGCCCAGCCCCTACACGCACTATATCAAATACACTCAGCTACACCACACACACACCACAGAGCAGCCCCCGTAAATACCCCCTCAAACACACATGACGGCCCAGCCCTGCTGTATCACATAGCCACCTCCGAGCCTGACCCCTCACAGAACACACTACACACGCACAGTACCACACACATGCACATCACGGCACCTACACACACACCGAGTACCACACCGCGTGGCCTGGCCCCTCCTCTCTACGCTCTACACACACAGCGCACCACACGCAGCCCCCACAGCCCTGTAAACAAGCCCCGCCCCTCTGTACCACACAGCCTCCTCACAGCGCGCCCCTCCACCTCCCCTCCTCCAGGCCTCACCCAGCACCCGGGCCACGAGGCAGAAGAGCAGCGTGCAGATGACGAAGGTCCAGTTCCAGTGGTGGGAGCCAGCCACAGTGGAGACGCCAAGGAAGATGAAGATGAGGGTCTCGCTGACACTGCTCCACATCTTCAGGAAGTATTTGATGGTGGTGTGGGACTTGTGGGAGATGTTGGCCTCCACGTAGGGACGCATGACCACTCCTGAGGCGATGAGTCTGGGGTCGGCAAAGAGCAGGATTCAGGGGTGAGCAGCATCTTCCCAGGGCCCGCTGCTGCCAGGGGCCGGCAGAGCCGGGAGGAACAGGCGCCTTCTCACCGAGCAGCTCTCGGGGGCCGACCCCCACTGTGCGCTTTGCACCTCTGCTCCCAGCTCAATCGTCCCACCAAGCCCACAGGGCTGGGGACAGACTCGCATTTTTCAGAAGAGAGGTCTGAAACCTGGAGAAATGACGCTGCCTGCTACCTGCCACACTGCAGTAAATGGCAGTGCTAAGGTCTGTCCAACTCCAAAGCCTGCGCCTTCTCCCCCGGGCCATGCGGTCTCTGTCCAAAGACTGCCAACGACACGCCTTCGGCACCCCTCCGGTTTTTTCCTCCCAGCCTGGTACCCACGCTGGGCTCTGCTCCGGCTGGCCAGGCTTCCTCCCTGCCACCCAGAATCCCCAAGTCAGCCTGGCCTCCACCCTGCCGCTGTTCTCCCCATCAGGAAACCCTCTGCACTCACTGCCTTTGTACAGCTCACCCCCACTCAGCCTCAAGCCCCTGGAGGCCTCAGGATCTCCAAGACTCAGAACCGGGAAGATTGCCCATGAGTCCCTGGTGGTGCTGCGACAGAGGAGTGTGTGGGAACGTATGTTCAGCTCCACCTGTGGGGTTCCCTTTAAGACGAAGGAATTGGGGCTGGGGATTTAGCTCAGCGGCACAGCGCCTGCCTGGCAAGTGCGAGGTCGTGAGTTTGATTCCCGGTACCGGAAAAAAACCAAAACCAAAAAAAAAAAAAAACAACAACAAAAAAGATGAAGGAATTGGTGATGCTGTGCTTGCCTGTAATCACAGTACCCTGAGGCTGAGACAGGAGGATCACGAAGTTTGAGCCCAACCTGAACAGTTTAGTAAGACCCTGTCTCAAAAAAAATTAAATAAATATAAAATAAAATGGGCTGAGGATGTAGCTCAGTGTGAAGGCCCTGGGTTCAATACCCAGTTCTGAAGAAAAGAAAAATTTTAAAAAGACAAAGGGAGGAAGTCATAGGATGGTGTTTTTCCAGGGTCAGTCCTGGGTTCTGCCCTCCTGTGGCCAGACAAACATCAATGCGAGTTGCTCTGGCACTATCTGCTTCCGGTCAGGAATTCCTTCTCCACATTCCCAAATCCCACAGAGCCCAGGAGAAGGGCCTTTCTAGGAAGCTTCTGATGACCTCAGTCATTTAAATGGCTGCCAAGCGAGTCTGGTGCCTGGGATTCCTGTCGTATGCCTGAAGCTGACGTCTGGGCCCTGGGGAGCTCCCTGGAGGCCACACAGGCCTGGGGACTCCTCCCGCACCACTCCCACAGCCTGGCACGCCTGGACTCACGCCATGATGCCTGACAGGTGGAAGAGCTCAGCTGACAGGTAGGCCATGTAGCTGTAGAGGAAGACGAAGAGCGGCTCGATGACGCGGATGTGGGCGGTGAATCGAGAGGTGAAGGCTGCGATGATCCCGTAGACCACACCTACAAACACCCCGCCCAGGGCCACCACGAAGAAACTCAAAAAGCCGAGAACGATGTCCACGATGCCCACGCGGTCGTAGTTGGCAAACTCCTCAAAGAGGTGATACAGGACCTGGGGAGGACGTGCAGGTTGGTGGGTGGGTGGGCAGGGTGGCCCCATGGCTCCCTGGGGTCTGCCATGGTGATCCCATCCCCTCGGTGGGCTACAGTCACAAGAAGAGACCAAGTGATAGGAGAGAAACCCTAGTGCCAAGCAGATACTCAGAAACCAGGGGCCCTCACAGTGCCTGCCTGCGAGTGTGAGGTCGTGAGTTTAATTCCCAGAACAAAAAAAAAACCAGGGGGCCAAAGTGGCTTGACTGCGGTCTGCCACAGGCCATGCTGGTTATGAGCACAAACCCTGAAGCCAAAGGACTCAGGCTGGAATCCTTGCCCTGCTATTCCCTATTGTGTACACAGGGCCAAATACTCAGACTGTCTATGCTTCAGTTTTCTCGTCTATGAAGTGAGCGCAGAAAGTGTGCCCACTTTACAGGGCTGTGGTAAAGATTCAGTTAGTAAAGCACCCAGTACGGTGTTAGCAGGTACCAGTACCATTAAATTGGTCCATCTCACTCCTCTCTGGATTTCAGTCTCTCCTTTGGCACAAAGCAAGGAGGTTCAGACAATGAACTAGAACAACAGTTCTTAACCTCTGAAAATCATGTGGCCAGATAATGCCAGACTCAGCTCTCTGAGTGTGCTGAGAAATCTCCATTAACAAACTCCCCAGTGGTTGCAATGGGCAGCCAAGTTCAGGTGCTGTGGAACTAGAGACTCTCTAAGGCTTCCATCTTCTGGTCTAGGAAACAGACGGTCTCTGTAACACTACCGTCGAATGTCAAAATGGCACTTCATTCACTGGAAAGCCTTTGAACCATCTTCCGCCTAGGCAGCGCTGTACAACCTCTTGAGTCAGGCAGGCCACGGATGGCTGCTCCCTTGCTAAACTGAGGTCCAGAGAGGTAAAGGAACAAGGCAGAAGGCCCCCCAGCCCAGTAGGACTGGGTCCAGAACTTGTTCACTGATGGCTGTGGACTCAGGCCTCCTCGGTAGGCTCAGCTTTGACATTCTGCACTCCTAGGGGCTGGCACCATTGGCTCTCTGGTCTATTCAAGTCCAATCCAGTCTAGGCAGCTCTGCCAGCAACCAGCTGGGACTTTCCAGGCCTGATGGGAGTGAAGAGAAGTCATGAGAATCTATGACAGGGAAATCTCCAAAGCCCCCAGCACCTGGGCAGTCCCTGGAGGCAAGCAGGTAGGGACATGGAGGGCGAACTGCACCAGGGCACAGACCTGATTCCAGGCAGACCAGGGGCAGCTTTACTGTCTGGAAAACGGGGAGGACACCCACACCCAGGGCTCCAGGAAAGACCCAACTTGGGCCAGGCAGGAAGGGCAGATGTGGGACACTGGCCAGGGCCTGGTGCTGCCTGGACCACAGCCATCTGGGAGACAGGGCAGGGCATGAGCAGCGGACAGTCACATCAGCAGGTACACTCTCAGCCCTGGGCCACCTAACCTGATTCCTGGCTTGGGGGGATTCATGGTCTACCACATGGGCTAATGGGGCAGACACACAGGTCTGTGTCTGGACTCTGAACTGGACTGGACTATGCAGATATGAACCCCAGCTACATCTCAGCTAATATAACTTGGTGCCTCAGTTTCTTCATCTATAAAACGAGGATAACAGTGCCAACCTCATGCAGTTACTTGCGGATCAGGGGAGGTAGTGCACATCTGGACAGGAAGTACTGGATGACCAGCAACAATCACCACCACGACCATCACCACCCCTGGAGATGCAGCTGCATCTGAGTTACCCCCTTGACACAAGCACACCCACTGTTCCCAGTAGCTCTGGCCCCACACTGGCATCACCAATATTAGTGAGGGGAACTCCTGTAGGAACCCTGAGAAAGGGCTGAGGCTATGGCTCAGTGGTAGAGAGTGCTTGCCTAGCATGCATGAAGCCTTGGTTTGATCCCCAGGACCCCCAACCTCTCCACCCACCCCCCCAAAAAAAACCTCTAGGAGTATGATGTGCTGGCTTCTGAGAGCCCTGTGTCACAAGTGGAGAATTCAAGACTGCTGTGTTAACCCTGGGTAAGAGCTGGTGCTAGACGAGACCAGGACAGAGGCCTGCCTGCTCAGGCCAGGCTGCTGCTCTACCCAGCCCCTTGAGGACCAGGCCAAGGGGCACGGAAGAAGAGGAAGCCGAGGCTGCCACGGCTGAATACCAGACTGTCACTGCTTGGAGGTGCTGCTTCCTGCAGCGCTGGGGTGAACAGGGAATATGTGTGCGTGGGGACTAAGCACGCACACGCATCCTTGCACTTCCTGTGCCTGCGGCTGCTCTGAGTGGCCCCGCTCAGGAGGAGGACATGAATGTGTACACACACAAACTCATTTCCTGAGGAAACTGCTGTCAGGGAGGACATATGCAGCCTCGACAGCGTGACTACACACAAGCCTTGGTTGGGTACCTGTTGTCACTAGACCCTCAGGGAAGGCACTGACATGGTGCCACTTTGCAGCTGTCACACGCGAGGCCCAGAGAGCTAGAGTCACTTGCTTAAGGTCACACAGCAAGCAAGTAGACAATTCATTTCACTTATCACCTTCTTGGGGTTTGGGGGAGGGAGGCAAGGCCTTTTTCCATAATCTCCACCCAAAAACTCTGCACATACTAAATTCTAGTGTTTACTAAATTCTAGACTTAAGATACAGACAAATGAGAGCTAATGGCCCTTCATGAGAGATGAAATGGGCCATAAAGAGGAAACTGAGGCACAAGGAGAATAAGTAATTTGGCCAAGATCACATCAAAGTGCAAGTTAAGGGGGCAGCATAAAACCTAGTAAGGTCAAGAGCTCAGGCCCTGGAATGAGACAGACCTGGTTCAATCACAAAGAGGTTCCATCACACTGCTTTAAGTCCTGCTTCTATCACATTCTAGCAGGCTATGTAACTTCTTTGGCCCTGTTTCTTCCTCTGTAAAGTGAGGACAGTAAATCTCTCCTCAGGCTGTCCTGAGGATTCCGTGGGAAAGTTTGTATCACAGGGCTCAGCACCGTGCCTGGCACTCAGGAAGCGCATGGACAGGCACTGGGGGTTTCTGTTACTGTTATTAGGAAGTGTGTTCGGGATTGGTTTCTGGACCCAACTCGGGCTGTGCCCTGTGTGCGTGTGGGCGTGGCCCCTGGCCCCTCACCACAGTGACGGCGTCATTGAGCAGGGATTCCCCGAAGACAAGGATGTGCAGCAGCTCATTGATGTGGATCTCCTCAAAGACGGCCAGCACAGCCACCGGGTCCACAGCCGAGATTATGCTGCCAAAGAGCAGGGTGTCCAGCAGGCCGATGTTGTTGATCTGCTCACCGCCCACCTGGCACACGGCAAACATGAGGCCGCCCAAGAAGAAGGCATTCCACAGTGTGCCCACCACGGCGAAGATCAGGATGGTGCCCAGGTTCTCTGTGAACTGCCGCAGGGGCAGGAAGTAGCCCGCATCCAGGATGATTGGCGGCAGCAGGAAGAGGAAGAAGACGTCTGACTGCAGGAAGGGGGGCGTCTCGCCTACGCCCTTGATCAGGCCCCCCACCAGCAGCCCCACCACGATCAGCAGGCAGCTCTCCGGGACGATGCTCGAGATAGTGGGGATCACATGGAAACCTGCGGAGGGCGAGAGAACGGGAGGCCATGGGCTTTTGGGGGAGCCAGGAGAGCAGAAGGCTGGGGACAGGGCTGGGGACCAGGAGAGCAGCTGGCGAGAGGTGCACAGGCTTGGTCTCAGAAGGCTGCTCTGTTAACTCTCTGGGCCTCAGTTTCCTTGCCTGTAAAATGGAAGGGATAATACCAGCTTCACAAGGTTGTGGTATAAAACAAGTGATGTCTTTAAAGTGCTTTTTTTCAAAGGATATTCCCATGCTGTCTGTCTCTGTCACTGTCATAAGGTATTAGAAAGCAGCAGTCTGTATGTTGCCAGAAGGCAGAAATTATAAGTTGATTACTGAGGCACTGAGTACCTAAGGCTATAAACCTACATCTGAACCCAAGGCATCTTTCCAGGCACAAGGTCAGGAAGGCACACATGAGCTCCATGGGAAAAAATAACCATCTAATGGTTCTGTCTGAGGGAAGGTGGTGAGATCCCTGTCATGGAGGTATTAAAGCCAAAAGAAGACAATGAATGGTGAAGAAGTGGCACAGGAGATAAAAGAAACCACAGAACAATCAAAGAACATTAGTCCAGGAGGCCTGAGGTCTACAAATCTGCAGAGCATGCCAGGAGCGGTGGCACATGCTTGTAATCTCAGCACTCAGGAGGCTAAGGCAGGAGGATTGTTGAGTTCGAGACCAGCCTGGTCTACAAAGTGAGCTCAAGGCCAGCCTGAACTGCATAGCCAGACCCTGTCTCTAAAAGACAAAAAACAAACAGAAAACAACAACAACAAAAAATCTGCAGAGCACATCCAGTGACCTCCAATCCCAGAGGTGTGGTGGCAGACTTTGTACATTATCACGACATGCTTGCCTGTGGAGGGCGGGCAACTGCTTAATACAGGGTGGCTCTAAGAGGTCAACAGCAATCAGTTTTGGCATATGAGACAGAATCTACTTGCCACCATCTCTAGGCCAATTCTACCTACTCCAAAGATGGGGCAACTGAGGCTCAGAAAGGGGAGGCGACATGCCAAAAGTAAGGCAACTAAGCAAAGGAAGCAGGAGGGAACCCAGGTCTGCCCCCCAGCTCCCAGCAAATTTCTTAGTTCTGAAATTCAAGGTTTCCTAGCTTTCTTCCCCATCAGGGCATCTGCATGTCCCTCCGAGACCCACAAACCATTTTCCCAAGCCAGTCCTGGCCCGCAGAAACACTTCTCTGCTGGGGCCTACCTTAGGGCTCCAAACCAAAACGAGGTAGCAAAAATCCCTGCCAGAGAGGGCCTTTCAACGCCAGCTTCAACTACAGAGCTCCAAGTTTCCTACAAGTTATTTGGTTTTGTTTATTCTATTGTTTTGTTTTTGGCAGGGAAGTGGGTGGAGGAAACCTGGGCACCCAGCTGCATGCTGGGTACCCTAATCCCCAGGGTCAGCCTGGCCAGCTTTGCTCAGGCAGAAAGCCCTCACCCTTCCCTAGCCAGTAAGCTGTTGGGGCAGTGGGGGCAGGACATATGATGCTTCCTATGTTAGTTACTTTTCTCATTGCAGCAAGTGGTGGCAGCAGCCCTTTCTGTCCCTTACACTCTATCCAGGCTACCATCCTTAGGGCAGTAGCACTCACACCTAACTTGGGCCTTCCCATTATTCACTCCCAGAACTATGCCAACCAATCAGTGGACTGATTTAGAATCATACACCCTTCTTGGTTTTTTTGTTTTTGTTTTTGGTACTGGGAATCGAACTCAGGACCTTGAGCTTGGCTAGGCAGGCGCTTGTGCCACTGAGCTATATTCCCAGCTAATCACATACCCTTGATCCCAGCATCACACACTTTAAATCCAGCCACCTCTGAAAAGCTCCACCTATGAATGCATGAGGTTTTGGGGGGACATCTAGACACAAGCCATAAAACAAACTGTTTGGCCAGGCCACTGCTCTCAGTACCCTGAGATCCTTGGTTTATGATTTTTTTTTGCAGTGCTGGGGATGGTGCATGCTACCAAGCTCTCTACCACTGAGCCACATGCCCAGTGCATCCCTGAGGTCCTTAAGAAGGAGAGGGACTCCTTCTTTCTATGGCCAAAGCCCATTTTCTTCTCAGGGACTGACCTCAGCAATGCTGACTCAGCTACAAGTCAAAGCTCACACTCCAGGGCCTGGGGATATAGCTCAGTGGTATAAGCACCTGCCTGGCAAGCACAAGGTCCTGAGTTCGATTCCTGGTACCAAAAAACGAAAAAAAAAAGAAAAGAAAAAAAAACCAAAAGAAAAAAAAAAGCTCACATTCAAAACACTATCCAGGCCCAGAACATGAGCACAGTGCCAAACTCCCAGGAGACATGCAAAACATGTTAAGGGAAAAAAAAGACATGTCTCCATCTTAGCCTGGGAGGAGACCTCAAATCCACCTTGTGTGTTTTCCTGATTTCAAAACAGACCTGACCAAAAGTCACCTCTTATGATAAAAAGTCCCCCAGTCTTTGCAGAGTCCACCACTTCTGCCCAGTGTGTGGGCAGCTGGTACACTGGGAAGGGCTGGGTCATGCTGCTCCAAGTCTCTCCTGCTGTACGGCCTCCAGGTCAAACTCAGCACTGCGCTGTCATCCAGTCTTGCCTCAGGTCCCGTTCTCCCCACAGGCACTCCTTAAGATTCAGGCAAATTTCTTTAATTGTCCCAAACGAGCCACTTTCTCTTCTGCCTGCAGACCTCTGCCCAGTCTACTTCTCTAGGCACCATTCCTGCGCTCCCCACCCCCACCGTGTGGCCGACGCCACGGACTTCTCCCTCTTCTTCCAGAAGGGTTCCCTGACCACTCTGTCTGCCCAGGTGAGGGCAGAGACCTTTCCTGGCGTCTCTCTCTCTCACAACCTTCAGTTCACAGTCACTGTCTAGAGCAGGGACTCCCCGAAGATGAGGGGAGCACACTGATGTGGGGCTCTATGGCACCCACTTAGATCAGTCAACTCAGGCAGAAGCAGTGGAGACAGCGCCATGGCACCAACCCAGACCTGTGATACTCTGGCGGGGAGAGAGGAAGGCATGGCTGCAAAGTTTGGATCTTGAATGTCCCCCAAAGGCCCATATTTTAAAGGCCTGGGCCCCAGGGTGGTACTATTGGGAGGTGGCAGAAGCTGTAACACCACCTAACAGGAGGTCCTGCAGTCTGTGGGCGCATGCTCTCCAAGGGGCCTGTGGGGCCTCTGGTCCCCACCTCATTCTTTTTGCTCATTATATAAGTGGTTTTGCTCTGCCATGTGCTCCTATCACAATGGGCCTCACTACAGGCCCAAGGCACCAGGACCAACCATTTACGGACTAAAACCTCCAAAACTGTGAGCCGAATGGGCACTGCAGTCCACACCTATAACCCCAGCATGCGCAGGAGGGGCACTGCAGGTTTGAGCCAGCCTGGGCTACATACTGAGTTCAAGGCCGGCCTGAACTCAAAATCTATAGCAAGACCTTGTCTCAAAAAAACGAACAGAACAAAACAGAAAAACAAAAACAAAAACAAAACAAAAAGGGCTACCATAGCCTTCCTCACAATAGCCCTCTCTTTCTCCAAGGTGTTTTCTTTTCCTCCTTTACTCGGGCCAAGCTCACTCTGCACAGCCAGTTTCTCCCTCACTCTTCACTTTTACTTTTTCAAATAAACTTTGCCACTGCTTCTTTCTAAAAAGAAAAAAGAGCCAGGCTCAAGGCTGGCCTGAACTGCATAGCGAGACCCTGTCTCAAAATAGACAAAAAAAAGAAATCTAACACAGGGCTTTAGGGCAGTAGAGTTCTGATAGGCACAGGCCAGAAAACAGCTTCCCAACGCCAGAGTCCAGCTCCAGCCAGCAGACTCTGCGTCTCCTGGCCCTGCACCAACAGGTGTCTTACAAGGAAGCAAGGTCTAAAGAGCTCAGGGAAGGACTTCTACCTCCACCAAGCCTTGAAAAAATGCCTCCCACCCTGTGGGAGCATTCCTGGAACAGGATATGCCAGCAAACTGGAGACCCAGAGACAAGCCAGTCGCAGCTCCTCCCAGGGGAGGAGAAAGGCCTGTAATGAAGCAAACCAAGGCCATGAAGGATGAATTTCATTCCTGAAGGTGTCCACAAGTCAGCACTGTCCTTGCTGTGTACGTGCCACCACATTCTGTCCTCACAGTAGCTCTGTGGAGCAGGTGTTCCCTCACCACAACCTTTTTGTGGTCCTGGGAATTGGACCAAAGGCTTTTGCACTAAACTATATCCCCAGCCCATTCATTCATTCATTCATTCATTCATAGATGAGTCACTACATGGCCCAGGCTGGGCTTCACAAGCTCCTGCCTCAGGTGTACACCCCATGCCCAGCTTGTACCCATTTTGCAGAAGACAAAGCTGGGTTCTGCAAGGTGAGGTGGCTTCCTGTGAGTAGGAGAAACTCCTATATGTAGCTTAGACGCCTCAAACCTGGGGCAGAGCACTAATGAGTCCTTTGCTCAGGCACCAGTATTTTGGGGGGTAGCCGTGCTTTCCGGACCATAAGACTGCCATCATAGGTAGAGACAGCGAAAGCACGGGTGAGAACTGGGAGTTCCGGAGGAGGACACCTCACCAGACTCCCAAGGACTAAGTCCCAGGCCTCCTGATGCGGGAGGGGCCCGCAAACCCTTTTTACTTAAGTCTGCTTCCAGGTACCAGGCTGGAGCTGTGTTCCTGAAGCAGCCCGTGCCTTTCTCCAGTCTTGAGTTTGGCCCTGCCCCCCAGTGAACAGCAGGAGCTCTGGGCCTTGGAGGGCTTGGAGGGCATGCAGGGCGTGCAGGGGGGTGCAGGACAGGGCACAGAGGGCAGGGCAGGGCAGGTTAGGGTAGGACAGGGCAGGGCAGGGCAGGGCAGGGCAGGGCAGGGCAGGGCTGGGCTGGGCTGGGCTGGGCTGGGTCCAGGCTTTGGGGTGAAGTCTGGATCTGGTCTTGGCCCCTGGCCCACAGTAGGCGGCATATTACTGGAAAGTGCTTCCTGGGTGGGGGAGGGGTGGACTCTGT